AAAGAAGTTAGCTTAATAAAGCTTCCACTGGTCAAGGTCACAATTTGAACATTTAAAACAATGGCTAATTGGGATTGCATGAGTATAGAAGAGTCTAAGTGTTCATAATGATACTCAAGAGCAAAGTTAATATAATCAAGTATGTTAAAACACAGCTGTAAAAAAATTGAATATGGTGTATGTATAATTCATTATTGACCTTAAAGAGTAATATAAAATTTTTCTTGCTAAGTATGTGTTTATGTACAGATGTGTGTTTGTATATACACATTTGTGTGTGTGTGTGTGTGTGTGTGTGTGTGTGTGTATAATTTGTTCCTGTTTAATTGGTTAAGAACAAACATAGGGGTGGTGTGTTGAACCATTATCAAGGAAGACGAAGAACTTGATGATCCAACCAAGTAGAAAGATGGTTCAACAGTTAATCAGCTCCGATGGTTATATACAATAACCAAGTCGAAAGAGGATTCAACAATGTGTTGCAAAATGATGAAGTAGCCAAATGTTCTACAGAGGAAAATGGATAACAAAACTTGGATTCTTCAGGAAGGAGCTGGAGGGCCTTATTAACTATACTAATGAAGCATAGAAAAGCTTTAAATAATGCTAGTCAATAAGATTCTTATATCAACTAGACAGAACAATGGGCCAGATGGTTTTGGGAAAGTTAAAGTGTCAAAAATTTCCAATCTATACAAGAAGAAAGTCTTAAAATGCCCCATGACATAATAAGTAATATTTTGATATGAAAGAAAAACAAAGAAAAGTTGTTTGGTCTATGCAACTAGGTTTTATGGATGACCTGATTAAGGGTTGGCCAGTTGCTAATCTGTAAATTGCAATTTATTTGTCTGAGAAATTATTATTCTTATTTTGGGTTAGATAAGATTACTAGAACCCAGGAAAGGTACGCAAATACCTGGTAGGAAAACCTAAGCCTAGCAACAAATGGACAAAAACTGGAATGCCATTCAAATAAAGATAATAAATCCATGAAGCTAACATTTTTATGGTTTTGGTATAATTAATATTCTAGGTATGTCTTACCTGTTTCTTAAGGTATTTAAAATATTTACCACAATCTGAAATTTTAGGCTTGTGATTTAATGAGAGTTTTAGATGTTTTTAATCCCGAAACCCATGTTAAAAAGAGTGGGCATATCTAATTTTAGACATTCTTGTTTTTATTTATTAGTTTCACATCTGTGAATAATTAGGGGAATGTTGGATGCTTAAAGAATTTCAGTTTCTTAAACTAATAAACTAAACATTAATCAAAATACAAATAGTAATGACTATATTTCTCTAAGCCCACAAGGCCTGTGGACATAAGAGAATCTATCACATGATGATCGTTTAACACTCCGAAGTTCTGAGAAAGTCACACAGGTTTTAATGTTGAGCAGCAATCTTTCACTTTATTAATTTTAATATATTTAACAATTGTTTTCAAAGTGTTACAAAATACTGCTCCAGGCACTGTTGGTATCCACTGAATCAGGAGTAGATGATCCATGTTCTAGTGACATTTCCAGTGAGAAATCCTGAATAATAAATTATTTATTATTATTGTGTCTAAGCTTAAATATCTCTTTTCATAAAAGAAAGGCATTAGCACCTGGTTAGACAGACCAAATGAACTAATATACATGAAAGGATAATGTCTTGCCCTCCTAGACAGAAATAAGTTACAACTAACAGGTCTTTGAATAAGTACTACACCACTGGCTTCCCTGCTCTAAGAACCAGTATTTTGGTGTAATCAATATATTTAGGGTTCACTCCTTAGTTTGCAACATTTTGAAGAGAACAAAGGACATGAAAATAAATTCATCTCAGAATCACTAGTTTACTGTACATCTAAGCATAATCATTTATGACACTAAAGAATATTTAATAAGCTTCTATTTTTATGATTCTTATTTATTATGTCAGTCCAGACACCTCTTTTCTAGGATTATCCAAGTTCTACTGAATCTCTTCTGAAAATTCCATTGTTCTCAATTCACCTGTTGGATACACTGCCTTATACTGTAGCTTTTAACACTCTTTGTGGATACATCTTTTTATTTTTTTCCCGACTGCAAAATTAAACTTTGATCAAAGCATTTATCAATTGTAATTAGCATTACTTCTTTTAATACATACCTCTACTGTCTGAGATTTCACCTTGGCTCACTCTTTTCCTGAAATCTGAGTGCCCTACTTACAGCAAATGAATGTTAAATGTAGTTCATTTTGGAACTACCCTGAAAATGGATCTCTACCACACGGACATCTGAGCACAAAATGTTATTAAAAATTCTCCTTGACCATAGTAACTCATGGTTTTATTAACTGTTGCACACTGCTGATGCACAGGACGTAAATGTACTTTGAAAAGTTTAACTTCTCCGATGAAATGAGTTCATTTTATTACTTTCTTTTAGTGTTTTAATTTTTAAATGTCTTTAAATCATTTCAGCTTTGACTCAAGAACTTTATAAAATCTAGTCCTTCAGAGGGAAAAAGAAGAGAAGTCTTGAGATGGGAGCTACGTTAGAAGAAAAAAGGTGAGGAAGCAAAGGGGAAATACATTTCTGCCTTAGCCTCATGGCTTCTTCAAGCCATGCCTGAGGAAAGAGAAAAACAGAAAACCAAGAAACTGAAGTAGCCCCCAAAATGTATTTATTTGTGGCTTATGACAGTTTACATTTATAATGCTTTTTAACATCAAAATGTGATTATCTGTTACACAGGACTGTATTCATAAAAAAAATTTAACTACTTTAAATTCTTTTTGGAAAAAGGTGTTACATAAATAAATTTATATAAATAAAATGAATTTTTAGGCCAATTTATTAGTACCTCCTTAGTTATTTATATAAGCCAGTAAGGCTCTTCCCTGGTTCTCAGCTTCATCATGGCACCACAGCTCAACATCTGGTATAGTCTTCTACTTCTTGTCTTTCACAGTTGTGTAGGGAAGTATAGGGATTCTTAGCCCCTGGTCATTATATAAAAACAAAACAAAACAACAACAAAAAACTCTGTATTCAAACACACAAAAAAATCCATTTTAATTAAAAAAGTCTATGTTTGATAGAGGGAATTTTAAAACTAGAACAACAGGATAGAAAAGTAGACTTCTCTGAATCATTTTCAAAGTTCATCACTATGACCCTTAGTCTCCTCCAACATGCTTCTTAAAATGATCCTATAAGTTGTTTGACGAAAACGCAAAAGTTGCTGAAATGAAAACAAACACTGCCAATATCCTGTCACATTGTTTTTCAAATAAAGGTACAGAAGATTTAGGTAGTACATCAAGCGGATATTTTTAATTTCAAAGTTATATATGTATTTTGATAAATAAATGTTTATTTATTTTAGAACAAATATAATTGGCATATAAAACTCATAATTTCTGCAAATAATATTTCCTAGGCAATGCTAAAAATTCTGAATCCCTTTAAGGAAAAATATTAAGTAAACACTGAATATGGTAAAAACTGTAAAGGAAACAAATGGCTGGTTTGAGAAATATTGCTTTTATGTTTATTTAAAGTTTATGTGACTGGTTATACTACATCACTGCTTTAAGTAATCAATGTTTACATACTTTAAAAACTTTATATCATAAAAGTTACAGGAGAATAATTTCAGATTATTGCCTATAAGATTTCTGATCATTAAAAAAAGTTTTATATCATATTTGGAACATGACTCAATATTACCTTATTTATAAAATAAATTATTTTCACTATTTATAATCTCTCCTGGGAATATGCTAATTTAAGATCTAAATTTATTTGGTTTCTATGCATTAAAAGTTTATTTATAAATTTTCTCTTCTCTATGAATAATTTTATATTCAAGGGGATGAAAAGATCTGACCAAAAGTTTTCCTATATTTATATATTCATATGATTTCCCCCCTGTGAGTTATATGCTGCTGGGTAAGAGAAGGACTGGAACTTAAGGTTTTCTCACATTTATTATATTCACACAATTTCTCCCGAGTATGGATCTTCCTATGTTGATTAAGATGTGCACTCTGGCTGAAGGCTTTCTCACATTCATTACATTTATAGGGTTTCTCTCCTGTATGAGTTCTCTCATGCTGATTAAGATGTGTCCTCTGGCTGAAGGCTTTCCCACAAAAACTACATTCATAAGGTTTCTCTCCGGTATGAAGTCTATGATGTTCAGTAAGGGATGTGATACGGCTAAAGGCTTTACCACATTGATTACATTTGTAGGGCTTCTCTCCAGTATGAATTCTCAGATGTTGAGTAAAGGATGAATGTTGACGGAAGGCTTTCCCACATTCATTGCATATAAAAGGTTTTTCTCCTGTGTGAATTCGCTGATGTTGAATAAGATGAATCCTCTGGCTGAATCTTTTCCCACATTCATCACACTTATAGGGCTTCTCTCCTGTAAGGACTATCTGAGGTTGAGTAAGAGATGAGTTGTGGCTGAAGGCTTTCCCACATTCACTGGGTTTCTCTTCAGTATGAATATGATTAGTAAGAAGAATATGTTGATTGAAGATTTTTCCACATTCATTATATTCATAAGGATTCTTTCTTACATAGTCTCCCTGATAGTAAATCAAGTCTGAATTATGTTTGATGCTATTTCCTTGTGTGTCAGAATTAAGGGGTATTTTAATTGAAGGAATTCTCTGATGCATAATAAGGTTTGAGTTTACATTATAGTTTTCTCCAAATCTATTACAGTCAAGGCTTCTCACCTGTGTGATCTTTTTGTGGGTGAAAGATACTTGTGCTAAATGTCTCTGCTGATTTTCTTGGTTAAACTCTAATTGGTAATCAAAATCCCAGAGTCCTCCTAAGATGGAGTACCAGAAACTGTCTCCTGTTAGTCTCTCCATTATCATGTCATGGTTTTTATTTTCATCAGAAATATTCTGGTTTGGAATTGATTTTCTGATATCAGGTCTATTCTCTCCACCTAAAAGAAATTCAGAACATACAAATACTTTGCCATCTTCTCTGTTTTGAAAAAGAAATCGTTGCACAATGAATTACCAAGTGAGACTTAAAGTAATGTGAACAAAGCATATGTGGCGTAAGTTTTAAAATATGGCCATGTAACAAGGGGGAAGACTATAAAAGGATCACAAAAAGCAGTGAGCAGGGGGAAATTTTAAAACATGTGTGGTAATCATAAGAAAAGATCATCCAGGAGTATCCACGGTTGAAAGGAAATGGAAAGGAGAGTAAGAAATATCAGAGAAAGATCTGTGCTCAAAGGTAGGAGGTATCAGAAGAAAGACTACTGGAAGAAGACAGATCCAGACCTTATAAATCTCATCTGTGGATTATCCTTATGTAGTGTCAGCTACTTGTTTATTGAAAAAGTATGTATTTCTTCCTATTTTAATTTTTTGTTTAAAATGATAAAATGAATACTTGCTTTTAGTAACATATTCAAATAATGTAGAAATGCATAAAGTAAGAATTCCAATCTGTAGAGGCAGCTGTTTGGAGCTGTTGGAGGCTGTCTTGCCAGATTTTTTCCCTATGTTCATACAAATATAAATGTAAGTCATATGAATTGTGATACAAACAAAATTTCATTTCAGCCTCCTACCACTTCTTTGAACTTAATTTAGTGGGGGTATTCTTATTCTGCTTCCAGGTGAAGATTTGGGGAGGTTCCATGGCTTCTCCCCTCATTCTTAGATAACAGATACTCCTGTTACATTCAAACACAGTCTCTATTCAATTCAATTAAAAATTTAATCATGTGTTTAATAATCAAAGTTCCAAAATTAATCCCTTTCTCTTCCCCTGGGCTGTTATAGAGTCATATTCTTCCTTTCCTCCCACTGCCTGCCTCTTCCCCTGCCCTACTTTCTTCCTGTTAGATTTTTCCCTGACTACTCTCTCATTTCTTTCCCCACTTAACTATTTCCCTGGCCACTTCTTCCTTCACTTACTAAGTGTTGTTTAGTTCCCTTCTAACAAGAGTTGGAGGGTAGGAGTCATGTGGAGGGAGGGATTAAGAGAAAGACCAATTTTTATATAATTGAGTGGCTTCACACTCTCAGCTTGCAGAAAGCTAAATAGGACTCACTTTGGGAACTTTTATGATTCTTGGGAGGTTTTAGCTGGACCTCTCCTCTCATTTCCATGATCTAGACAGATAAAGCTCTAGTTTGGATAGTCCCTTCAGACCAGCCCTACAGCGTGAATCCTACTGGACAAGATCCAAGATCATGTTGCCTGACTCATAACACTCACGATACCTTGTTCTAACAAACTTGGATAGTACAGACAGATCCTAACTCAACAGTTTTTCTAGCTCACCTACAAAAGCCATTTCATTAGTTAGCTGTTCTTGGGCCTTAGACTGCTTTAGGTTTCTCAAATGTGAGTCACTCACTAGTCTTGGTCTTCCAACCATAGGGAATGTATATATAAAAGCTGAAGGAGTGTTGCTCTTGAAGCTGGCACATACAATTATCATCCTAATTAGAACACTTGAGAGTAAAAGGAGGCTCCATTAATAATAATGTCAACAACTGTCTTGGGAAAATAAACTGGAATTACATCATAATACTGTTTTGTATTTTGTTTTTTTACATTACTGCATATCATGAACACATTTACATGTCAACAAATACATTTCCATATTATTTTTAAAGGTTTTAAAATATCCAATTTTCTGGATATGTCAAAGTATTTTTAATCAATCACATTTAGGTTTCCTTGGACTTACTGTTATCACAAACAGCATGGCAAGAATAGTTGGCTGAACATGAAACATATATTTTATAAAGAAAAAAAGAAAATTGTAAAAAACCGATCAGTTTGCTTAAAGATATACAAAAAGATACATAAACAGAACCTACTCTGGTCTAAAATTGTATGTGGAAAAAAATAGTGATTTAGAAGAAAAGAAAAAGAAGAAGAAAAGAAAAAAATAGTGATTTTAAACCCACTGACCATTTCAACCAGATTACCAATCGGATTTTATTTTCAGCCCAAATGCTTTTGTCTTGCCTAGGGACTTTGGCTCTAAAATGTTTGGAATAACTGGCTAGAACTTTGAAGACACATTTTCTGCCTAGGAGTAGAGTTCAGGGCCTTCATTCCCTATGGCCTAGCTTCTGAAACTTTTGTTTATTCCTGGAAACATGGTGGCTTGATCAACATATTCATGGACATTTTTGTTGACTGCCTTCTTTCTATGCCTCTGTGAGGGAAAAGGGAAAACTGCTGCTGGTGGACAGACTTTTCATCTACTGATAACAGAAGGAGTGACTATGCATGGGCTATATAAACACTGCTCCCCCACTCTGAATATCTTCAAGGCACATCAGATCTGCAATCACAAGGCTGCCTATCTACATCCCAGTGGGATGCCAGGGAACAGAATCTAGACTACAAAATGAGACAATGATCACTTTGAGTTTCAAAGCATTTGTGAAGAACAAACTCTAGTCCATTTGCTCTAGCTCCTCACCTAACCTAAGGCCCCATGTTAGCGGACATGACTGCAACTTTCCTTAAAAGGAGGGTGGGCTCTGATAAGGATGAACACTTTTATCAAGCCATGTATAAGACAGCATGCAGAGATGCTGTTCATTCATTATTCACTGTGTACTTTCTTCCTGGTTTGGCCTTACCTGACTAGGAACCCAATCATTAACTGAAGCTCCCAAGTCCTACTTTGTACTTTTGCCTACTCCCCTCTTACACTGCCTGATCCTCTGCTGTCTGAGATTACAGAAAAAGTGTTACCTGGGAAGAAAGTGTTTTCAGACATGGAAGCAGAAGAGCTTTGCCTGCCTACACTGTGAGAATGACATGCAATCTATTTTATGCCCAAGTCCTAAACTAAGCAAGTGTAATATCTTGGTCATGGCTACAGACTAAGCCTCTCTAGCTTATTGCAGGGGTTCATCAGGCCTTCATTATTCTTGCAGGAACCTAAGGGCTCTACATGAAGAAAAACAGGGGATTTGCTGTAGTCTCAAGTGGTTACTGTTTGTCTTCATTGACTCCATATTTCCTGGATCAACTCTTGGGGTTATGACCTGCTGATAAAATTAGATTTCTAGGATACCTAGACCTCTGATCTCCTTTGTATCCAGGAAGGGATACCCTCTAGATGTGACCATGGTCAGTTTAAGCATGTTGTGATGTCACTGGGCAACTTGAACAACATCTTGAAGGGCCTTCTGGACTGCTGTATATCTCATCAAGTAAACAACTTATCCTGATGTTTAGCCTCATCCAATGCCTTTTGAACTGAATTATTTAGAATTAGGAAGGAAGGAAACAAGAAGGGAAAGAGGAACAGAGAGAGGGAGGGAGAGAAAGGGAAAGAATTAGGGAGAAAGGGAGGGAGAAAAACAAATTTTGAAAAGTTTGCCCTTTCTATGTGCAAGGTACTGTAGTATTTCCAGTTCCCTTTTGTTAATTAAAAAACATGCCCTGATCTATAGTGAGTTAATGATATTAATTTATTGGGTAGAACAATAAATTAAAAACTGAAACAACAGTTATAGAGAGGGAGGGGGGAAAACCATAAGAGACTCTTAAATACTGAGAACAAACTGAGGGTTGATGGCAGGTGGGGGAGATGGGAAAGTGGGTGATGGGTATTGAGGAGGGCACCTGTTGAGATGTGCACTGGGTGTTGTATGGAAACCAATTTGATAGTAAATTATATTTAATATAAAAAATACTTCAAAAAAATAAAAATAAAAAATAAAGTCTTAATTTTAAAAAGAAAAAAAAAAACTGAAACAAAATAGCCTAAAAAAGATGAGAAATTATCAGAGTTCATCTGACATAGCAATAAAGATAAACAGTGTTTGGTAAAATTTTTGTCTCAATTTTATAGATTATACTGATCTTATGAGTTGCAATAAAAATGGATTTCTTGATGATAGTGGTGGTTATAAATAATTAAAAATGATTGGTTTAGGAGAGGTTGTAAACTTTTTCTATAAAGGGTCATCTCGTGAATATTTAAGGTTTTGTGGGTCATATGGGCTTTACTGTTTACTCAACTCTGCTGTTATAGTGTGCAAGCAGCCACAGACAATATATGAGTGATAGAGGGAGTGTGGCTGTGTTCCCATAAAACTGTTTACACAAACATATGATTCTAGACAATGTTCGTTCATCCAAAGAGTCTACAATACCAAACAGGGTTGTCTGGAAAGGGAGACCCCCTTGATTAATCTATGACATCCTGTGTTGACTGGTGGTTCATCTTATACTAGCAATGTATGAGAGTGCTTTCTTTCCTACAGGCTTATCAACAGTGTATGCAGACAAATTTTTGGGCTTTTGCTAACCTGACAGGTGAGAAAAAGTCATCTGGTGTAGTTTCAATTTGTGCTTCTCTTATCATGAGTGAGACTGAACATTTTTTCTTACATTAAACATATTTGTACTCCTTTACCTAAGAACTGTTCACATGTGTATATTTCTATTGGGCTGTTGGCCTCTTATTGATTTAGAGGAGCCTTTTTAAAATTAGGCTAGATTAGATTATTTTGAGAGAGTGAGAGAGAGAGCGTGATTGAGGGAGGGGAGAGAGATAATCCTAAGCAGGCTCTGCACTGATAGTGCAGAGCCTGATGCAGGGCTGGAACCCGTGAACCATGAGATCATGACCTGATCCGAAACTAAGAGTTAGACACCCAGCCGAGTCACTCAGGCACCCCAGGAGCCTTTTGTTAATGGGAGCTTAGCCCTTTTGATATAAATTGCAAATATTCCCCCCCACCCCAACCATTGCCATTTACCTTTTCACTTTGCTTATTATTCTATACCATGCAGAATTTGGGGATTTGTGTCTGTTGAAAGTATAAATCTTTTCTTTTATGGCTTCTAGATTTTGAATCATAGTCAGAAATGACTTCCCCATTTCAAGGTTATAAAAGATTTCTCCTATGTTTTCTTCCATGCTCTTATGGTTTCATGTTTTACATTTAACGTCTCTGATTCTTTTGGAGTATCTTAGTTTAAGGGGTAAGCTATGGATCCAACTTTATCTTTTTCCAGATGACTACTCAATATTCATTAAAAGGTCTACCTTTTATAGTTACAATTGTGGTAAGCACAGCATAAAGATGATTCACTAAGCTGTGCTCCTGAAACTAATGTAACATTGTGTGTCAATTATACTCAAAAAAAAAAAAAAAAAAAAAAAAAAAAAAGGTCTACCTCTTAAATACCAGTTATCTCAATATCATTTTACTAAGATGTGTACCTTTTCCCTACTAATTTGAAATAATGCCTTTAACAGATACTAAACCCCTGCATACATCTAGGTCTATTTCTGGATTTTCTATTCTGTTCAGTTGGTTGCCTTGTTTTGCTTAATAAACTTTTGCTATATATTATCTAGTTGAGATAACCCCTCATTGTTTTCCTTTCAGAGTTTTCCAGATTATTTTTGTGTTTTGGTTTTTCAATATGAACTTTAGAATGAGCTTATCTAAGATTCCCCCAAAATCTGGAAGGCACTTTTTATGGGATGACATTACATGTGTATTAGGAACACTGACATCTTGGTATGTCTATTTATTCAAGTTTATTTTTGTGTCTGTCAGTGTTTTAAAGTTCTCCTCATGCAGGTGTTGCACATTTCTTGTTAAAAGTTTATTTCTATGTGTTTTATCTTTTTAGTTACTATTAATTGGGCTCTTCTCTTCCATCTTATTTTATAACTGGTAGTTGTTTGTGCTTTTACCTTCATCTCATTTCAACAATTATTTACCTGGCTATACAGTTATATCTGAACTTTGATCCATACAAGGAATCTCGAACTCAGTGTCACACTCTCTGGCTCAGTGAGTAGACTATGGCCTTATTCACTCTCCACCTGCTTTCTAATCTCATCAAGACCTCTGCTGCTTTGACTTGTATGTTGTTTTCTAGTTTCCAGTCCTCTTCAGGCCTTACTTTACTTTTTGTCACTTTTTGGACTCTATGTCAACTCACCTGAATTAACAAACTCTCTCTCAGGTTTCCTCCTTCGGTTCCACCAGTCTGACAGGCTCTCAGCCTGAGCTCTACAAAGCCTTTCCAGGGGCGCCTGGGTGGCTCAGTTGGTTAAGCGGCCAACTTTGGCTCTGGTCATGATCTCTCGGTCCCTGAGTTCGAGCCCCGCATCGGGCTCTGTGCTGACAGCTCAGAGCCTGGAGACTGTTTCAGATTCTGTGTCTCCCTCTCTCTGACCCTCCCCTGTTCATGCTCTGTCTCTCCCTGTCTCAAAAATAAATAAAACGTTAAAAAAAAAAAAAGCCTTTCTAGTGCCAAGTAGAATGGGAGAAATGGCAAATATATGCATAGTTACTGGAAACCACAAATGCATAGGGCAAAATCTCATCTGGACCCTCAAAGCTGCTTGGTAATCTCTTGATTCATTTTTGGTCAGTTTCTGTTGACCTTAGTAAGCTAAAGCAAGTGCTCCTCAAGTTCTGTACTTATCCTTCCCCGATTCCTTTATATTCAAAAGACAACCTTGCCTCCTACTTTGCCGAGAAAATAGAAATAACCATTGTGAACTCTCCCAAATCTTTCTTCAACAAAATTATTTACATAAAAAATCACCCTCACCTCCTTCTTTCCTATCCCACTCCCATCTCTTCTAGAACCTTGCTTCATAATTTGTATCTATTTTCTAATTACCCCCTCTATTAACTCCTCCCCTTCAGCATTACAAACAAGCTAAAACCATTCCTGCTTGGAACAATCTTCTTTGGACACTAGCTTCTATTCTAGCATATGCTTTCTATTGTCTCCCTTTATTATTCTAGCTTCTTTTTTTTTTTTAAATTTTTTTTTTCAACGTTTATTTATTTTTGGGACAGAGAGAGACAGAGCATGAACGGGGGAGGGGCAGAGAGAGAGGGAGTATTATTCTAGCTTCTTATAAGAGTACTGCATACCCAGCTCTACCTGTTTACTTCCTGTTCACTCAAAATGTACTAACTGATGATTCTTATATAATCACTCTTATTAATATAATTATTAACTTCTTTGTTTCTAAGTCCACTGGACATTTTCCAGGTCTCATCTTCATCTGGAAGAGATTTCTAGATAAATAGGCATCAGTAGATGCCAAAAAGGCAAGCAGTAACCCAGAGGGCAAGCCAGAATTAGATCAGTTCATCAATGGAAATGTTTTGCCACATCCTCATCAGAGGAACCAGTCACTGTGTCTCAGTGTCTTACAGGATAATGCAAAAATGCAATCTGTCTTCTTGGAGGAGACTGCCAGGCTGCTGATTCCTGACAAGGAGGATATGAGGAAATCACTTGTTCAAGCTGATCTGTAAACCAAGAGCCTTAGGCATCCACATAATAATTTCTGGAAATTTTCCTAAGTTAGCAATTATTTTCTCTAGCTGGGGGTCTGTAGATAGGCACATAATGGGAAAGAGTGTGGATCTTACAAATGGATATGTCTGTGGGGGAAAAATATGTACCTGAGGGAAAGAATAGCTTTGCCTTCTGCTGTAAGTTCCTATGCTGGCAATTCACCTGGGAAGGGAGTTTTCATTTTCTTCCTTTAGTTTCCTACTTCCCAGGTTTCAAAGTGTGGAAATTCATAGAAATAACATCACCTACTGTTGTCAGGGAAAGTGTTAGGGTTCCTGAAAAAATGTTTTAATTATTAGCCTCTACTTATGGAATGGCAGCACTGGTCAGACCAAAATTCAGGTTCAATGAGACTAAAACAGGAACAAGGATTCCTACCTAACATGACCTGGAGAACTAAAAGCAAGAAGGACAGCCAAGTCAAAGCCACACTGAAAAATAAGCTGAAGACTGAATGACAGAAAACCAACTCTAAATGGGAAAACCAGGTGCCAGAGCAAAGAATCAGGGTGGACACTAGACACAGACGGGGTAGGTTAACTTGACTTAATAAACCAGAGTGAAAAATACCTAACTCAGTGTCTGGCATACGTTTAACATACAACTACTTGCTAATATAACTGGGCAGAACACTGTAGGTGGTATGCCAACAATAGAGAGCTAAGCTTTTGGGGTTTTTTGGTTAAGAAGCCTCTCATTTAAAGAGTCCATCAACTGATGAATGGATAAAGAAATTGTGGTTTATATACACAAGGGACTGCTATGTGGCAATGAGAAAGAATGAAATATGGCCCTTTGTAGCAACATGGATGCAACTGGAGAGTGTTCTGCTAAGTGAAATAAGCCATACAGAGAAAGACAGATACCATATGTTTTCACTCTTATGTGGATCCTGAGAAACTTAACAGAAACCCATGGGGGAGGTAAGAAAAAAAAAAGGAGGTTAGAGTGGGAGAGAGCCAAAGCATGAGAGACTCTTAAAAACAGAACAAACTGAGGGTTGATGGGGGGTGGGAGGGAGGGGAGGGTTGGTGCTGGGTATTGAGGAGGGCACCTTTTGGGATGAGCACTGGGTGTTGTATGGAAACCAGTTTGACAATAAACTTCATATATTGAATAAAAATAAAGAGATACTTTAAAGAGAGAGTATAAAGTCAACAAATCCAGGTTTTGAAATAATTAAAATAATGGCATGACATTCATAAACAAAAATATAATCTGAAATCTGGGAAGAGAATGTGAGTGAAATACTGAGGCTAGAAATATAGACATGGGAAAAGGACACAGAAGGGCTATTTTAAAGTGATGTACTGCAGACTTGAGCACCACGTCTGTAGGAATACATACCTTTAGAAGAATGAAAAGGGACAGAAGGTAGTGAAAGAAGCAGGTAGAGATACAAGACTGAGACTACAAGAGACAAGAATTGTGTGTATCACAAGCCAGGGTGGAAGAAAATTTCAAGAAAGCAAAGTGAATGCAACAAAGTCATAGGAGACAATAACCGTTGTTTTTTTTTTTTTTTTTTTTTTTTGCCACTGGATTTGACTGACAGAAAGTTAGCGGTAATCTCCAAGTAAACAATTTTAGTAGTACAGGTAGGACAGGGGTCATATCACACAGATAATCTAAAGAATTAAAATTCAGGTTATGGGTTTTAGGCAAATTTAAAGAGTTTGATAATAAAAGGAAAAAGAATGAAAAGTAGGTAAAAATGGCAGAGGATCTTTGACATGGAAAAGAAAGATTTAAAGAATACTGAGAGAGGATGTATGAATAAAGACCAGAAAATGTTATGTGGAGATTTACAACACCAAGGTATTTATGAATGTTAAAATTAATACCTTGAAAGTAACTTTTGTGTTGTGTAAATTTTTAAATAGTAAGTATATATTATCTGTTTAATGGGAAAAAAAGAGCCATTTCCACTTTGGAAAAAAGTCAAACATAAACTGAATTTAAAAACTCCTCAGTATTCTTTAAATCCCAGAGGCAGAGATTTGGAGCACACTCAGTTGAATATTTCAAAAGTGACTGCTTCTCTTTACTGAGCAGCAAATACCCAAATGCTTGCTCCTCACCTGCACGAATGTCCCCTGAGCTGCCTCTTTCCATCATCCATTGCTCCTCCTGCTCCAACTGAGAGATCACCTCTGGCTTATAAAGTTGATGCCCTATTCACAGGAAAAATGTATGCCATAGAAGTTTATACTGGGAACAAAACTGTCTCTCAGAACTCATTTCCAACTTTTTTAGTCTTTAGAGCCTCTGGATTTGGAAAGGGGAAACTTCAGAGGCAGCAAAATAAAGCTTACTCATCTCAAACTCAACAAAGTCAAGACCTTTTACCTGAGGAGAAACAGCAGGAAACAAAGGTCCTCTGTCTCCAAGCATTGATTAGCATTCTGTCCTGGCCTGAACTATATTCACAAAAGCTTTGGAAATTTTCACTACTTAAGGAAACAAACCCCTTTAGAATGGTTTCTAGTTTTACAGGGGCAACATCCTTACCCAGTGCGACCAGATTCCTGTAGTTCTCCAGCATCACATCTCGGTAAAGATTCTTCTGAGCAGGGTAGAGCTGGTCCCACTCCTCTCGTGTGAAGTCCACAGCCACATCCTGGAACGTCAGTGATTCCTGAAATATCAAGAACACCCTGCTTAGCCAGACACTGCTTTTTACAGGGGCCCTTTGGGGAAAGGGCAAAGGTGCAACAGTGGCAGTGGCAAAGGTTAGGATGTCTGAACTGTTGAGCTGCCAGTCTTCAAGGCTCTCTCTTGAGTAATTTAGGTCAAAAATGTTAAAACAACAATTACAACCTATCATCTTTTAAGACAGACATAAAGACATGCATGAAATAATGCTTGCTTTTAAGTTTTTTACAGTTTGTTGCAAGGGAAAGACTCTCCTCACCTAAATAATTGAAAAACTATAGGAAATTCATGCTGTAAGATTTCAGAAATGAAAGAATCCAGGATCAGTAGAAATACTGAGGTGTAAGGAGGTGTCAAGTTGGTGGATTTTGTGTATTCTCAACAGATCCTTAACAGATTTTTAAATTTCAGACAGAATTAAGAGAAAGTATTCCAGTGGGTTGGAAAAAAAAAAAAGCAGCAAGGGCAAACAGGTTGAGAATAGAAGACACATGGTGCATGTGGGGATCAGAAAAAGAAACTACCTTGTTACAGGTAGGAAATTCAAATAAAAAAGGGTGACTTCTAAATTTCCTCCACTGTCAGTGCTTTTTAACAATCCTTTTGCTTTAAGGGACACACCATACAAACACAGGCACATACAAACAATATATATACCTCCCCCTCTTCCCTTACTACCTAACCGTCTCCCACCCCCACCAAATACCACCCATTTCATGGGTATAATAACTCCTCAACCCATCAGAATGAGTGTAGTGTTACAAATAAGTCCTTTCCCCCATAAGGTAATAGTCGATATTTAAATACAGTTCTGGCATTTTACTTATATTAATTTTCATGCTTTGATAACATATCCTTCTAAAATATATTTGAATTAAGTGACATAGACAATTTAGAGATGAGTCACCAAAGCTGGAAGAAATTAAATAATTTATCCAAGGACATACAGCTAGTAAATAGCAGGAACTGGATTTTATCTTCAATCTTATTCTAAGAGTGTGTTCTTTCCATCATACCACAAAGATGTGTTTTCTGCTTCTACAAACATCTTCCCTCTTGTGACTTTTATTTCTAATTTCCATTCTACTTTCCCCATGCTTCTTGCATGCAGTACCAGGGTGAGGAAAACTATTAATTTATTATAGTCTACATTTTTTAATACCTGCATTTGTAGTTCTTTTTTGGGTGCTTTATTTAGTACTTTTTATTTCCTTCTATACCTTCTAATGATTTTGCACTTGGTTACCTGTTTCTTCTATTTTATTCTTTTTAAAAAATATCCTTATTTGAATTCTATTTTTAGGTAGATAACATATTAATATTAATATAGTTCATAAAGAAAAACATATAAAAAGGTAGTAAAAAAAAATCTCTCTCCCAGGCTTCTTTCCTCTCTATCTAGCTCTTGCTCCCAATAGATAATCACTATTTATAATTTTTTAGTGTATTTCCCCAAAATTCTTTATGCAAATATGAATATGGATTTTTATTTTCTCCCACTTTTTTTTTACCTCAAATGTAACATATTGTATAGATTGTTTTTTTTTTCATTTTATTTAAAGTTTATTTAATTTGAGAGAGAGAGAGTGAGAGCGAGACCAGGTGCATAAGCAGGGCAGGAGCAAAGAGAGAGGGAGAGACAGAATCCCAAGCAGGCTCCGTGCTTTCAGCGCAGAGCCCTACTTGCAGCTCAAACTCACAAACTGTGAGATCATGACCTGAACTGAGATCAAGAGTTGGATGCTTAACTGACTGAACCACCCAGGGGCCCCTCATTATAGTTTTTAAACTTAAGAAATTTTGACATAATTTCAGACTTAAAGAAAAGCTGCAATAATAAAAAAAATTCCTCCCTCTCCTCTACCTTTTTCTTTCTATAATTTTTCTGGACCGTTTAAGAGTAAGTTGCAGACATGATGCCCCTTTACCTCTAAAAAATTCAGTGTTTTCTCTCTAAACAAGGGATTCTCTTATGTAACAATAGCACAATGATCAAAATCAGGAAATTAGCACTGACACAATACTGTGTCTAAACTATATACTAATTCAGATTTTATGAAATGTCCTAATAATGTCCTTTATAACAAAAGAAATTTCAAGACCATGTACTACATTTGTCTTCTATCTTTTGTCTCTTTTACTCTGCAGCAGTTACTGAGCCTTTCTTTAAATTTCATAACATAGATATTTGGAAAAGTATAAGCTAGTTATTTTGAGAGTAAAACTCTGGTCTTGTCTAATGTCTCCTCACAAGTAGATTGACACCACACACTTTTGGCAGAGGTAGTACGGAAGGGATACCGGATTCTCGGTGAATCCTATCAGAAAGTACACATTATTGACTCGTTCCATTACCAGCAATTTTGATAATTTGGTTAAGGTGGTTATCTACCAGCAATTTCTACTAGAAAATTACTATTTCATCCTGAAATTTTTAAGTATCTTGTGGGGGAGATAATTTGAGACTATGTAAATATCTTGTTCCTTAAACTTTCATCCACTAGTTTTGGCACTGACACTTCTTGCCTGAATGAATTACATTTATGATGGTTGCTTACTTTTCTAATCCCATCATTCTTTGTATAAGTTGGCTTTCTACTGTGATGAAGAGGTTTCTCTTCTCATTCATTAATTTGTATCAGGTGGGTTTATTTATTTATTTTATTCAGTAAGTTATAATCATTTACTATCACTATTTATTTTAATGCTCAGATTGTCTTAAATTTAGTTGGGAGGAGCCCTTCAAACTGGCTCTGTGTCCTTCAACATTTCCCTATCATTCTCTGAGCACTTTACTTTTTGGGGACAGAAAAATGTTCTTTCAAGGTACATTTTGTGCTTTTCTGTCCCAAGGATGGAATTAACAATTTCTTCAAGGATCCATGGTTCCTTCTAGTGGTCAAACACTGAGCGGCTCTGCTTCTAACCAAAGGATCTGTAGGGCTGCCGTGTATCATGTTCTGTTCTATTGGTCAAATACGGAGTGTTATGTCTACTTTCTCTTAATGGAGAATGGCATTTAAAAACCAAGATGTGGACCCTAGGTGTGTTCAATGCTACTGGAATGTTACTGGTTTTAGGACTTCTAAGTGGTTGTACCTGGGAAATAGAGGTATGTATATAATGATGTATGTATACATTAACACAAATACAACTCCATAACCATTTCTATACTTAGCTGTATATATTATGAGATTACACTGATACCTCTAATTCCAATCCAACATGGCAGAGTTTATTTATCATCTCTTTTCATGCTAACTCATGCCTCTGCACAAAAGAAACCTACAGCTTAGAGCTCTGTATTTGCAGTTGCTTTTGCTTTTAGTCTCTGAGTAGAGTCCAACAATTTAGGTTTAAAGGTTAACTCCTTTTCCTGCCTGATTCCTTAAGTGCGGTTATGTCAGTAATTTGAAATAAGTTTAGTTCATTTGTTTCTGCTTGTATTCGATTGTAGGCCCTCCCTGCAAACTCTCTCCCTCTCCCTGCCATTCCCTCTTTCTTTTTCACCCATTCTCATTCAAGCCCTATTGGCAACCAATCTCAGACTAAATTTCAACCTGGTGTTCCTTTTTTCTCAAATGAGCAAATATACATATATGTATGTTTTTATTTCCTCTTCTTTCTTACACAAAAAATAGTGCACTATAGATACTCTTGTATTTTGATTTTTTCACTGAACAGTTTATCCTGGAAATTCCTCCACATCAGTTTATGGTTATCTATCTCATTCTTTTTCATGGCTACATGGATCTCTCTTGTGTGAATGTTGCACAATTTATTTAACTAGTGTATTAAAAACACTTTAGTTATTTTCTACTCTTGCCATTATAAATAATGCTGCAATGAATTATCTTGTATGTATATTATTTTGCAACTGTGAACAAGTCTGTCTGAAGAATCAATTTCTCAAAATAGGATATCTAGTAAAAGAATACATGAATCTGTAATTCTGATATATATTGTCAAACTGATCTTTTATAAGGGTTCTATCAATTTACATGCTATAACAATCTATTGTTGCATAACAAACTACTCCAAAGTTTAGTAGCTCAAAAGAACAATCATTTATTTTGTTTACAAAATCTGAAACATGGGCAAGACTCAATGAGATTAGCTTATCTTTGTCCCATTTGGTTTCAGCTGGGATGGCTCAACTTTGGGGCTGTAGGAATCACTTGTAAGATGGCTTGCTCATATGGCTGACAAGTTGGCTGTCGGTGCTCAGACAGGGGTTTCAGTTTCTCTCTGCATGGGTCTCTCAACAGGGTGCTTCTGACTTCTTCATGGGAAAGTAGTTGGATCCTGAGTGTAAAATTCCCAAAAGGACCACCTTTTATGACCAAGCTTCAGCAGTCACATTGTTCACTTCCACTATAGTCACAAGCCTATGAAACTGCCCAGATCCAAGGGGAAGATACAGACCCTTACCTCTTAATGGAAAGTTTTTCTTTCTTTCTTCATTTCTTTCTTTCTCTTTCTTTCTTTCTTTTGTTCTCTTTCTTTCTCTTTCTTTCTTTCTTTCTTTCTTTCTTTCCTTTCATTCTTTTCTTCCTTTTCTTTCTTTCTTTCTTTCTTTCTTTCTTCCTCTTTCTTTCTTTCTTTTTTATTTTTTTAAAAATTTTTTTGGAGAGAGAGAGAGAGGCAGAGGGAGGGGAGAGAAAGAATCTTAAGCAGGCTCCACACTCCGTACAGAGCCCTATGTGGGGCTCAATCTCACAGCTGTGAGATCATGACCTGAGCTGAAATCAGGAATTGGATGCTTAACTAAGCCACCCAAGCTCAGATGGAAAGAGTTTTCAAGTCACATTATAAGAGGAGTCTGTGGGATGGGAGATATTATGCCATTTGTGGAAATACTCTCTGCCACAGTATATCTTCTAGAATATAAAAATTCACATTCCTCCCACATGCAAAATATACCCGTCTTCTTCCCCTAAGCCCCCAAGTTTCATTCCATTATGGCATCAGTTTGAAGTCCAG